AATCTGCCCTATGGAATCTTGGGCACACGGCTCTGCCTTGATGGGGGCGCCTGACACTCCAGGAGCCGACATGGAATTCTCTACCGGGTGTGAGGACTTATGACCCATGCTATTGATGTCACTGAAATGTCCTAATCCGTCTGGAAGCATCTTCATGCACCCTCCCTGTCCCCAGAAGAGTAATCAGGGAGAAAAGCAGTGAGCTGTGGCTTAAATTTAGGTCTGACCGGTGGAGGGCCTGAATCCAAGGCCCTCAGAGCCTCCCCAGCTGCCCTGTCTTTCCACAGCACCACCCAGCCCAGGAGCTGGTGATGCATGCAGTCACCCTGTTTAGGAACCTGCAGTTCTTCATGAGGCAGGCCTTGGACCAGGCTCTGGCCACACAGGCCCTGTGGTACAACCTCAGCAGCCGGGTGAGGGTGAGTCTGGGGCTTTGGGAGAGTCAAGGAAGGGGCTTCCACATTGGATACGGGGCTATGCTGGGTGGCTTAAGCAGCTCTCTGCCTCAGTTTCCCCATCTGGGAGGAGGACTGGTAACCTGGTGGCTGGCTGTCACCCTTGGCCACCTGCTGGGTCAGCAGAACTGCCACCAATTACACATGCCTGTCACTATCTAGCACAACATATGATGCCCCTGCAGAAAAGAGAGTCCTTGTGTCCCCAGAAGACATGACAGGCTTGGACCAGGAGTAGAGAGGGCCCGAGTAACCATGGGAGACAGAGGGTGTAACATCCTGGGTGAGGGTAACAGGAACTCTCTGACTGTGACAGGGTGCCCCAGAGAGAGAAGCTGTGCTGCCCTTCTGGGCTACCCTCCCCCCCATCTGTGTGTGTGTGTGTGTGTGTGTGTGTGTGTGTGTGTGTGTGTGTGTGTGTGTGTGTGTGTGTCCATGTCCGTCCGTCCGTCCTGGGGGCTGCTCCAGGCCTGCTGGGATGGTCTCTGGGAGGTGTCTGGGGTGCAGGAGGGACATGCAGGGCTGGCCAGCAGCCTCCAGTGTAGGCACGTGAACTTCTGCCTCTCTCTGTCCCAGCAGGATGTGCTCTGTACCCCTGCTCACCGACTCCTACAGGATAGCCAGGACATCCCTGTGGTGGTCACCCCGCTGCGGGCTGAGCGGGTGCTGCTCTTTGATGATGCCCTTGTCCTGCTCCAGGTTAGGAGGGGATAACGTGAGGTAGGGTCTGGGGTCAGGTTAGAAACCGAACAGGCCACAGGCTTCGGGGAGGATGGCACGCGGATGGGGACTGAAAGGCCAGGGACTGCGGGTCAAGAGGAAGACTGGCTGGGCTTCAGCGGTTGTCCCACAGCTGGTGACCTTGACCAAATTCATTCACTGCACTGTCTCCCCTGCCTCAGCGTGGTGGCCTGGTTTGGGGTTTGTTCTGATTGTGTCTCTACCCTCTTCTCCTGACGTCACAGTTTGTTCACTAGGAAATGTTTCCAGCCCTTCCCCGCTTGTGTGAATTCCTTTTCTTGTTGCTGCTCAAAATGCCTGACAAAAACAATTGGAGGGAGGGAAGGAGGGAGGAAGTGATGGAGGAAGGAAGTGATGGAGGAAAGAAGTGATGGGGAGGAAGGAAGTGATGGGGAGGAAGGAAGTGATGGGAGAGGAAGGAAGTGATGGGGGAGGAAGGAAGTGATGGAGGAGGAAAGAAGTGATGGAAGAGGAAGGAAGTGATGGAGGAAGGAAGTGATGGAAGAAAGGAAGTGATGGGGAGGAAGGAAGTGATGGGGGAGGAAGGAAGTGATGGAGGAGGAAGGAAGTGATGGAGGAAGGAAGTGATGGAAGAAGGAAGTGATGGGGAGAAAGGAAGTGATGGGGAGGAAGGAAGTGATGGAGGAAGGAAGTGATGGAGGAAGGAAGTGATGGAGGAAGGAAGTGATGGAGGGCCTTTGCTCATGCTGCTGTTTCTGTGGGATTCTCTCGTCTCTCGGCTGTCTCATAAACTTCTCCATTCTCTGACTGGCCTTGTGCCCTTCCCACTTCCTGGTCTAGTGAGGGCCTGCTCGGGCCAGATGGGAGATGGTAACACTCCAGAGAGGGGACGTTCCATCGGGCTCTGAGCAGGGTAGCTCCTTCGGCAGGAAGAGGAACACGGGGAGGGGTGACGTGAGGGGTGCTTGGGGCAAGCTCAGGAGGGTGTGAGGGCGGAGCTGACAGCTTCCGCATGGAATGTGAAGACAGGTGTGTGAACCTGGACGTGTCAGGCTCTGCCGTGAGCCTCGGTCCCCAGGCAAGAGGAGCCTTAGACAGCTGCACCAGGGAGGCCCGTCCAGGTGCCTCGCCAGGCCTAGGGTGAGAAAGGAAAGAGCAGCTGCAGCTGAATGGGACCGAGCTGATGGAAGAACTCAGTGCTGATGCTCTTGCTGGGCATCTGGGGCCCCCAGGGCAGGTGTCTCTGTAGACACGGCTCCGGACCACACCCATACTCATCTTCTTCCAGGGCCACAATATCCACACTTTTGACCTGAAGTTGGTGTGGGTAGATCCTGGCCAAGACAAGTGAGTGACTTCCTCTGCAGGTGTCCCTGGACTTCCCTCCCTGGGCCCCATGATATCTGCTCATACCTCCAGGCTCCCACATGATCCCCACTTCCAACCCCAGATGGAACTGGGGCTCACCGGTCACCTCCCTCTGCCTAGGTGCGTGCTGCGCATCCTCACACCCGAAGAAGAGTTCTCCTTTCAGGCCAGAGACCCCCAGGGCCAGGTGAATGAGGTGGGAGCGTGGATGGTGGGGATCAAGTTAGAAGCCAGGGGAGGGCAGAGTGCCAGTCCTACAGGGCTAGAAGGGCATCGGGGGTATGCCTAGGGTTCGGTATGAGGATGTCAGAGGAAAAGGAATTTCCCACCGTCAGGCTGAAGTAGAGACCTAAGCAGATGTCTGTCCCCACCCTCTTTGTGCAGCCCTCTGGGTTATCTAGTCCCTGGGCTACTCAGGCCGGATGTCACATCTTCGAAGGGCGGTGTACTTAGGGACTGAGTGGTGGGGAAGGACCTGGGTACCTGCAGCAGCAATGACATGTTCCCTGCCTTTCTGTCCCCACCAGGTTGTCTGGCAGTGGAAAGTGACCCAGGCTGTGTGCCAGGCCCTGTGTGGCAAGAAGGACTTCCCTTTGCTGGGGTCAGACCGGGAGTCACCTGTACCCCTCGACTGCCGCTGTGTGGCCTATACTTTCCGCCACGAGGGCCGGCTCTACCAGGCTACCTATGAGGGCAGTTGGTGTTGGGCCAAGCCCCATGGCAAGTGAGTCACCATTGCTGTGGGGTTAGCACTTGCAGCAGGTCATCAGACAGAAGTGTGCTAGAAACTGCACTGACTAGGAGTTTCCTCAAGCTTGGCATTTAGTTCAGCACCTCCTGTGGTTCAAGGGGAAAGGGGACTATAGATGTTCCCAGGGGAAGTGTTGAGAGTTCCCACAATGTCGCCCCCCCCCCATGTTGCTGGTGCAGGAGGCCAGAGGGCTTTCTGTAAGGGAGCTCAGTGCTCAAGTGAGGACTCTCGGTGAGCAGAGTCTAGTTGGAAGGTCCTAGGGTAGAGGGAGGGAGGGATGGGGCGCTGAGAGTCTGGGGGTGCAGCTCTCTGGGGGTGGGGCTGGTGGCCTGATGCAGTGGACCTCACCTGTGTTCCAGGGGAACTCTGAAGTGGCCGGATGGGCGGAACCATGTGGGGGATTTCTGCCAGGGCCTAGAGCATGGGTAAGCTGATGGGGGGGCGGGGCAAATGCTGGTATACAGGGCAACCAGAGGAGCTGCCGTCCACTGGGCCGCCCCAAATTCCCAAACCTCACACAGGAGTGGGCAGATGGCCCAGCTCCTCTCACCACAGAAGGGAAACCTGGCTGGAATAGGAATGTGGGTCTCAGGCTGAGACTGGCTTCCCGTGGTGGGGGAGGGGTGTGCTGAGGCTCCTTTGCCAGAGAATAGGGGACTCTGAGGTCTTCTGTACTTTCTGAGGGACTCCTTGGAGACAGGGACAACTGGGTAGCGTGGAGGGATGTGACGGGGCCTCTGATCAGGCAAAGTGGCCTGAATACTCACTTCTGACCCCACCCAACCACACGGTCAGCTTTGGCATCTGCCTGGTGCCCCAGGCCTCTGAGGACAAGTTTGACTGTTACAAGTGTCACTGGCGGGAAGGCAGCATGTGTGGCTATGGCATCTGTGAGTAAGTGACCTTTGGCCCGGAGGGGAGGGGAGAGGGGACGGACATCCTCTGGGCTGAGCTCCCTGAGGTGGAGCCGACCGCTGGTGAATCCTTCCAGGTACGGCACTGACAGGGTGTACAAGGGCTATTTTCAGGCTGGCCTTCGGCATGGATTTGGTGTCCTTGAGAGTACCCCACAGGCCTCCCAGCCCTTCAAGTACACGGGCCACTGGGAGAGAGGCCAGAGGAGTAGCTATGGCATTGAGGACGACAGTGAGAGGTGAGGGGTGGCAGAGAGAAGCCAGAAGTCCGGCTGGTTCAAGCCGCAGGCTCTCGCTAGTCCGCCTGGACCCCTCAGCCTTTTGTCTTGCTCTGTCCTGGGCGCCTGCCTCCATGGTTCTTCCCTCCATCTATGCTTCGTGCTCCCTCTAGGGGGCTCCACCCAGCACGCCGTCTCCTAAGGACGATTCCCTTCTCTGCCATCCTCTGTTCTTCTTGGGGTCCTTCCTTCATCTTCTCCCCAAAGCCCCTGTGGGCAGAGCATCCAGAAGGCACAAGAGAACTATTCTCTCACATTCCCTCCCTCTTCCCTTAGGGGCGAGCGCTACATCGGCATGTGGCAGGCTGACCAGCATCACGGCCCTGGGGTCTTGGTCACCCAGGCAGGCGTCTGCTATCAAGGCACATTCCAAGGGGACAAGATGGCCGTGAGTGGCGGCCCCTTCCCTGGGCACTCTAGCTGAGTTAAAGCCAAGCTGGGCGGATGACGAGATGCTTAGCTCTGCCCACCCATCTTCCCTGACTTTGGCAAGATCCAGGCTTCTTCTGGGCCTCCCTTTCCCTGTCTTCAGGTCACTGGTGCTTACTGTACATGAGCTAGAGGGACCAAGTTTGTCACTGGACAGCTAGTGGCATCCGTAGACCCCTTCCTGGCCCTCGCCGATTCTCTGTCCTCCTCCTGGGGTCTTCCTGTGACTCCTGCAATTGATGTCCTTAGCATATGAATGGCTTTATTGTTTATTGATGCGTTTATTGATGACAGACATCAGAGAACCGGCCCAACGTCACATCCTGCCTGAGATCAAACCCAATTCCTCCAAGGCCGGGCCTCCAGCTCTTACCTTCTGCCTCTCTGCGAGCCAGGGCCTTGATGTGTGGTGGGGTTTTGGCCAACAGCTGTCCATGGTTTTATGGGTTGTTTAGACTCCACCTTGTTCTGGAAAGAACCAAATCAGACCTCAAAGAAAAGGAGAAGGGGAGGCAAGAATAGACCTACAAAATAGTCAGAAACAAGTTGAACATGGACTTGTCAATGAGTTTCCTGGCAGGTGCAGCAGGAAGGGGACTTGATTGGTCCTGAGGACCCAGGGCAGTGACAGGGAAGCAAAGGCAGCTGAAAGGAAGCCAGCACTTCCTGAGGAGGAGCCACATCTGAGAGCTAACGTTATGGGACTCCCACATCTGGGGAGGGCGGTGCCAGGGCCGGGGTGCTCTTGGCCCTGTGGGTCAGTGTCCACCCACCCTAGCTTTCTGTCCAGTCTCACGCCCCCTCCCTCTGTTCTCTTGCTTCTTCTCAAGGGCCCGGGCATCCTGCTGTGGGAGGATGACTCTCTGCACGAGGGTACTTTCACCAGGGACCTGGCACTCCTAGGGAAGGTGAGAGCCATCCCCTCCTCATCCCACCCCATAAAGCCAGGGCTCAGAGCTGAGGAAGAAGATAAAGTATGGGCAGCCGGAGGACGCTCCTCCCACCGCCATGGTGTCCAAAGGGCTCCATGTCCTTTGCATGCAGTCCTGACTTAAGAGAGCAAGGTGGCAGGGACTGGAGGATTTGCTTCATGCCCAGAGGGCACAGGCTGGCTGTGCCCATGCTGTGCCCTTACACAGCCATCACCGTCCGAACCTTGGGCAGCTGTCCCTGGGGTCACTGTTCTTTCTTCCTGCCCAAGTTGACGTAGTAAAAGCAGTGGTGTCCATGCTGGGGCCTTTGGAAACTTGGGGGTGGTTTTGGATGCAGAAGGACAGGTGGGCCTGGTACCTCACGCGTGATCAGGAGTGCTGTGGGTGGAGCAACTCCACACAGCAAGACGCTGACCCTCTAGCTCCCTGGATCAAGTCTCACAACGGAGGTGGGCGAGACTTAAAGAATATTCCGGCACCTTTAACGGACAGGTAGAACACATGGTCAGACATTTCCATCTGACCCACTCAAGGAGGCCCAACATTGACACACTTGGCTGGGCACACAGACATATCTGTCTTCCCTTTCCTCTTCCAGGGTAAGGTCACCTTCCCCAATGGCTTCACCTTGGATGGTTCCTTCAGCAGTGGGACAGATAAAGGACTGTACACACAGGGAGTGCTGGACACAGCTGCCCTCCCGCCCGACCTAGCCAGAACACGCAAGAGGTGAGAGCCCAGCCTGTTTGGCAGTGTGTGTCTCCTCCCACCCAAGGCCTCAGGGCTCAGTGGAGGCCTTTTACTGTAGAAGACTCCAGAGCCCCAGGTCTTCCAGCCGGATGCTCTTGAAGTCTAGGCCTAGGCGGATATACTGCCATACATAAACTGGAAGAAAAGTAGGATTTGTCTCACTTTGACCCTGGTTTTAGCTTTTCTTTTTCCTAGAAGGGATACAGGACAGTTTCCAAGTCAAACACACAAAGAAAAAAAAAATAGAATATAAAGTTGTGACTAGATCTTAAAGAGATAGACACATGGTTATAGATATAGTTATAGTACCCCTTACTGCCTCTGACTTTTCCAACAGCCACAATGAAGGAAAGAAACTTGGTATGTAGACTCACCTTCCCGCAAGCACTGGTTTGTGAGGCAGGTTATTTTCCCAAGACAGCAGAAGCCCCTTTGGGAAACTCAGTTCAGGTGAATAACTCTTGCCATATTTGTTGAGAATCTGGGTGTGTTGAGGGAAAATGATGGAAAACGGTCCCTGATGGAATTTCAGAGGCAGGGAAGAGGTACAGTGGACTCATCAACCTGCGTGCTACTTCTGTCTGATAGAGGAGCTGGGAGAGAACAGTGGTCCTGGAGAGGTCCGCCCCAGCCTGGCGGGGTGCAGATGTGGGATACCTGTGAGGTGACAGCCGGACAGGGCTCCCTTTGTGAGACGCTGCCTGTTAGACTCACAGTTGGGTCTCACTCAGCCTGTCGGCAAGGCAGTGTCCACCACAGGGAGGCTATGGGAGAGGACAGGACAGAGCGAACTCCTGGACTTGCAGGCACCCGTCTGTCTGGGTTTGGCCTCCAGCTCGCCAGGCCCTGTGCAGCACCGTGTACCCCGTCTCTCCCCCACCTCAGAACACGTGCTCTGCCTCGTTTTCTCCTCCACTTGTCTTGGAGGTCAGCTCTGCCTGCATTCTCCATCCATGCTGGCTCCTGGGGCCTGATCACAGGCCAACCTGGTCCCACCAGCCCAGCCTGCACCGGGGCCTTGCTGGCTTCCACGACATCTTCCACATCTCTTGCTGTTCCCTAATCACAGACAGCTGGGGCTGGGCGCCTTCCCCGTGGAGAGCCGCTGGCAGGGAGTCTACAGACCCTTCCAGGACTTCGTGCGTTCTGGCTGCCCTGGGGACCTGCAGGAAGCCCTGCTGGGCTTCCATGTGCAGAGCTCCAGGGAGCTCCGGGAGTCCCAGGAGTACCTGTGCTGTGAGAGGTGAGCCTGGCCCTCTGGGTGTCCCTGCCGGTCAGAGACGACGCGTCAGGGGAGCTTCCGGGGGTGGGTGCGGGCTCAGGGGCGGGTGAGGGACGCAGTGCATGGTGCCCCAGGAGCCACCCCAAGGACTGTGCGGGCAGCATGGAGGACATCCTGAAGGAGCTGCTGCAGCACCGCGAACCCCAGGCCCTGCAGCAGTACCTCAGGAAGGTGAGGGTCCAGGCCGGGGAAGGTCTCCTGTATCTCACAGCATGGTGCTATTCTCACAGCATGGTGCTAACTGGAGGGGACGGGCCCATGGTGTTCCTGGTCCTCAGAGGGCCTCACTCAGTGTTCCCGGTCTGGGAGGCTGGTCTGGGTTCACGGTGCTCCACACCCTGGCTCTAAGCATCCCTGTTGTCTCCCTCGGGCCCAGGCTCTGAGCAATTCCCGACACCCCCTGGGGAAGTTACTCCGCACCCTGATGCTGACCTTCCAGGCCACGTATTCAGGCATAGGAGCCAACAAACACCTACAGGGGATGGCTCAGGAGGAGGTGAAGCAACATGGCCAGGAGCTTTGGGCTGCCTACAGGTGAGCCTGTGCACAGGGTGAAGAGCACTGCCTAGGGACTGGATTGCCCAGGACTGCCCTTTCCAAGGCTTGGCTCTATCCAATGCCTCTAACTCAAGTCTTGTTCAGTTCAGGACCAGAGGTTGGTCGGTGTCAGTGGTGACCAGAGGTATGAGAGATGTCAGCAAGGACTTCCAGCAGCTCCTGGCCAGGAGCCAATCCCTGTCTAGTCCCTGGACATACCCCTGCCCCATAAGAACTGTACCCTTGCTGTAGGCTGAGTGTGACTCTGGTGTTCAGATCTATCTGTCCTGTCCCAGGTAGAACCTAGATCCTCTGAGCATTACAGATAGGAGCTTCAGCTGCCACTGGAGTGCCAGGACCCTCCAGCACTCACACCAAAGCTCCAGCCTTGGACCCGCAGTGGCAGGAAAGGCTAGATTCTACAGGCATCCCATCCAGGTCTAGCCAGCCAGTTCCGGGAGATGGGACCACCTGCCTACTCTCTGTTTTGGTGGCTGGGAGGGTGGAATTCTGCTTCTGTGAGTGGCAACCACATCATTCCTCTCACTGGCTTGCAGGGGTCTACTGAAGGTTGCCTTACAGCGCCAGGGCCAGACCCTGGAGGAGGAGGACATGGAGACAAGGTACCTGGCCAGGCCGTTGTATCTGGGGCCTCCCTCTGGGTGGCAGTGCTTCTTGGGAAAGCACTGGGCGTGTGTGCTATTCACCAAGCGTGGTGCATTGACTCTACATCACAGTGGCCTGTGACCTTGGTCCTGGGATCCACCCAGGAGTGGTGCCACCACACGCTAGATACATCTCCGTTCTAAATGTGCCCTTCCAGCCTCAAGTTTGAGTTGTGCAGAGGGGGAAGCAGTTGCCCGAGGCCTCCTCATCCCTGTGCACTGCGGTGTGGAGGAGATGAGCCTGAGGTCACAGAGATCCCCAGGACAGACTTCATCTCTGCAGACGCAGAGGTGGGCCTGCCAACAGTGTCTCCCGCCCATTCTGGCCTCTCAGGGACCTGCAGGTGCACAGGCTGCTCTTGCCCCTCATCCTGCCCAGCTTCTACTCAGAGCTCTTCACGCTCTACCTGCTTCTTCATGAGAGAGAGGACGGGTTGTACAGCCAGGGCATCACCAACCTCAGCCTGTTTCCTGACACGAAGCTGCTGGAGTTCCTGGATGTGCAGAAGTAAGCGCCTCCTTGCGCGCCCAGCCAGAGCTGTGGGGCAGCAGGTGGTTCTACCCAACCTCAACTGTGAGGGGCACCAGACTTTCTTTTGGGCCACCAACCAGCTCCCAACTCATGACACGGAGGCTTATTAGTTATGAATGCTTGGCCTTAGCTCAGGCTTGTTTCTTGCTAGTTCTTATCACTTAACCTGTTTCTCTTCTTCTGTGTTTTGACTTGGGGCTTTTTACCTTTCTTTCCTTCTGTGTATGTTACTCGAGTCTGGCTGGCGGCTGCCTGGCTTCTGGCCCTGGGCATGTCCCTCTCCCTCTTCCTCTTCTTCCCTCAGAGCCTAGATTTCTCCTCCTTGTTCTCTCTGCCCGCCAGCCCCACCTATCCCTCTCCTGCCCAGCTATTGGTTGTTCAGCTCTTTATTAGACCAATCCGGTGCCTTAGGCAGGCAAGATGAAACAAATGCAACACATCTTTACATCATTAAACAAATGCAGCATAAACAAATGTAACACACCTTCCCACGGTTAAAGTAATGTTCCACAACAGTGAGGCATGCTCATTTATACATACACCACAGAGCTCCGGGACACACAGTCAGATGCGACCTGATCTAGGTGCTCAACCATCCCACAAAGGAAAACACCTTTGCTCTTCCCTCTGACTTTGCACCAGCCACTTCGGGGCTTATTGCCTTCCGGCTCAGTCCCTCCACTGTCCCCAGAGAGAGCTGGCATGTCCTGCCCCTTAGTTCCAGTGGTGCTCCTGGAGCCCCTCCTGGCTTGGGGAACTACTCAGGGTGCTGGCCAGCATTGACTGGGCCCATACACTTGGACTGAGAGTTAGGGAGGAGAGGTCTTCAAGGGGAAACTGAGGAATGTTCTGGGAGCAGGTCAGACAGGTGCTTACCATAGTCCAGTCACTAAAGCCTAGTACTTCCCTTGCCCTCCCACACCCTCCTGCCCCTGACGCATCCTTTTTTTCCTTAGTGGCCCTCTGACAGGTGCATGTCTCAGGTGTTCGATATCCCCGCCACTCCCACTGTCCTCCAGGGCCCAGGGCCCCTTTGTCACACGGCAGTGGAAGGTCACTTCCCCAGGACTCTGTGGCTTCCCCTGGCCTCAGGCTGTGTGCATATACCTGAGGACACCACCAGGGTGGCCCCACATTCCCTCCCCATTGCCTGTTCAGCCTTCCTGGGAGGGACGAACAAAATGGGGTGTGTCTTCTGAGCTCAGAGCTGCAAAGCCTCCCACCTCCTGTCTCCAATTTCAGGCACCTGTGGCCCTTCAAGGACCTCAGGCTGACGAGCAATCAGGTAAGAGAGCCACGTTTTGCTTGCCTGGGGGGAGGGGTCTGTGGCCCTGGGGCTTCTGAGTCAGGATCGCCTGGGGAGAGAGGCAGGTGAGGGAGGAGACCCCAGTCTTCCGCCCTGTCTCAAGTGGCTCCCACACGAGCAGCCTCAACCGCAGGCTCTTCCCGCCCGGCTGTGACTGTGGGTGGCGCACCTGAGCTCTGAGCCTCAGTTTCTCCCTGTGTAGATAGAGCTACCCCAGACCCACCCCATAAGACAGCCTTGGTGAAGGTCACAAGGCTACCGGCTGTCTCAGGACTGTCTGGAGCCTCCTAGGAAAGCAGATTCTGTGGGCTCCACAGGTTTTACAATGCTAGGCAACAATCCCACCACTGAGCCACGTCCAGGTCAGGGGTCAGCTCAGAAACCTGGGTTCCAACAAGTCCTTGGGTGTGGGGACCACTGGCATCGGCTGTGGAATTGCGTCACCAGGCGGCCTTGGCTGTCAGGATGACTGCCTTTTTTTGTCCACCTTGGTCCTCTCAACCTCTTGGAACCTATATAGTTCCCCCATTTTACAGCTGCATAAAGTGAAGCGCGGTGTTGCTGTGGGATTGCCCTGGATCACTCCGCCGTCAGGGCAGGGATGTACTTACGTCAGTGAGGGGGCAGGTGTGAGCGGCAAGGGACCCTGAGGATGGGAGCATGTTAAGCTGGATCCCTGTTTTACCTCTCCACTCACCTTTACAGAGATATTCTCTGGTCCGGGACAAGTGTTTCCTGTCAGCCACTGAGTGTCTGCAGAAGATCATGTGAGTGTCTGCCCTGGTTTGGGGGCGATGTGCCTGTAAGGGCACGGGGGTGGGGTGGGGGGTGGGTGCTGTCCTTCTCCTCCTTGACCAGGAGCCGCACCCTCCTTACAGCACCACAGTGGACCCTTGGGAGAAGCTGGAGGTGCTGGAGAAGACCTACGGGGAAATCGAGGCCACGGTGTCTCGGGTGCTGGGCCGGGAATACAAACTACCCATGGATGACCTACTGCCTCTGCTTATCTATGTGGTGTCACGAGCTCGGTGAGTGGGAACGGGGTAGATGGGAGTAAGACTCGTCCCTACCCTGTCTGCACCAAACACAGGACAGAGCGGGAGCTAAGGCCTAGAAAGGCGCCAGTCTCGTGGGTGCCTGGGTCAGAGCTGGGACCCTTCCAGAGGTGTCTAGCCCTCTAGGCCAGGGCTGCCCCCCGCCCAGCTGTGGGGTATCTGTCTGTGGCTGACTTCCCCCTTCTCTCCTTTGTTGTCTCGGTACTTT